ATCTAGGGAACCATCAATGGCATTCATCTAGAAGAGTGAATTTAAAATACACACATTAACACGTAATTTTATCTTTTGTTAAAAACGTATATTTACTCATTTTATTCCTGTTTGATTAGAGCATAGAATTTATGTATCTCTACCTACAATTCGTTAATAGCTTTGGCCCTTTCAAAAACACTCAGTGTCCTCATTTTAGCTTTAGCCTCTTTGGTTTGGATGCAGCCTGTGATTTTTTTTTGTGACAGTAAGCCAGTAGTTATTATGCATGGGGAACCCTATTAGAAATGCAATATTTTGTACTAATTGCTAACAGAAAGATCTGTAATCCTGGCTGCATGATTTGCCCCTTACATGTGCCCAGCTATAACAATCTGAATTCAGTATTGCGTTTGTTAATATTAGACACAAATTTATCCTGACACTTTTATAGGCAAAGCCTCAGAAACATTTAGTCATGTAAAATATAATCATGGTCTTGAAATATTTGCTTTGCTCCTGTGCTTTTCAGGCAGGATTTTACTTTGTAACCTTATCTGTACTGCTAAATTTGGCGAGTGGATTTGGAGAGGTTCTTTGAGGTCCTGATTGTAAGACAGGTGTTAATTTACACTGAGCCGTTACTGCACTTTATCAAAGAACAGTTGTTTACACAATGTGAATATTACCTGTCTCTACACATTTTTCAGATCTTCCCTATTATAGTGAATTAAATTTGGTTTTAATTTGCATTCCATTTCCAATGTTTGTTACCAGACACTTTGGACTTTTTGAGGGCAAATAAAAGTAGCTTCTGGTGTAAGTGAAATATTCTGTGTCAGAATAAAATAGCAAACCATTATGTAAAGGGCACATTTCCCCATGTGTTTACCTTATAACTTCATGAGCTAGACTTGTACAGAAGCTTTGAAAAAATTCCCATGGCTGTCATATTCATAAGTCTTTCTGACCCATTCAGACAGATGTTAGTATATAACTTGGAGCATACTATAAAACTTACCTTTCATTTATGGAAATGTGTTTGTACTTTGTTCTCCAAAAAGGAAATACAGAGACCATAAGACATGGGATAATAATGAACCTTTGGACACAGAGACATAAAATGGAATGTGTGAGCCCTTGACAGAGCAATTAAATACATTTTCATTTCAACAACTGAAGATGAGAAACCAAAACAGATGGGCAGGGGATAGAATAAATGAGAGAAAAATCAGTATTCATCATGCCTCTTGGCATTCTAGTGCACCAATTTACTCTGTAGCACATAACAGTACATCAGATCTGGTTCTGCATTCCAGTCCCAGGTTTATTCTTGTATGAAGTAAAAACTGAGAAAACTATAGGTACTTTCCCTGGAAATTTCTGGAACCATCTAGTAAGGAGTAACTAGCCATGCTATTATCAACAAACTAACTCAATTACTTCTTGGAAATAGGTAGATTACATTCCATAAATAAATTAAAGAATAATTTAGTGTTTGCTATGAAAGGCACACACTGCCCTAGAAAGCATGGTGAAACATCCTGTTATCATTATCAAGTGTCTTTCAAGATCTTAGAGGTTGAAAAAGGAGCAAATTACTTGCTTACATCCTAGGAACATCTGCCAAAAATACACCTTCACCAGGAGTCAAATGGAACTTTTAAAACAATGATCAGCTTGGGCTTAGTGGGAAAGGAACCTTCCTATTCTTCATAATTCCTAAGAAAATTTAAATGGTTACTAATGCTTGTTTTTAACCTATGAATTCCAACTTGAAAGGCTCTGATCTGAATCACATGTGCAAAACTTGAAGAAGTGTATCAGTTATCTATTGTATCAGTTATACATTCCAAGGTTTAGTAGCTTAAAACAACTAGTGCATACATCTTCATGGTTCTGTAGGTTGGCAATTTGGGCTGAGCTCAGTTGGACAGATCTTCCACTGTCGTGCCTAGGGGCTCCCAGTGGCCTCAAGCCGAAGTTGGAGGCTCAATTGCCCTTCCGTCTCTCACGTTGCCTCCCTTCCTCAAGGAGTCTAGCCTGGGATTGTTCTCAAGGCAGCAGAGGTCCAAGAGTGTGAAAGCAGAAACTGCAAAATTCAGTATGTTCCTCTGCCACATTCTGTTGGTCAGAGTATGTTGCAAAGCCAACCCAAATTCAAGGGAAAGGGAAATAGACTTCACCTCTTAATGGGAGGTGTGGCAAAGGAGTATTAACAGCAAGTTTTTTTTTTTTTTTTGAAAGGGAGTCTCACTCTGTCACCCAGGCTGGAGTGCAATGGCATGATCTAGGCTCACTGCAGCTTCTACCTCTTAGGTTCAAGAGATACTCCTGCCTCAGCCTCCTGAGTAGCTGGCACTACAGGCACATGCCAGCATACCTGGCTAATTTTTGTATTTTCAGTAGAAATGGGGTTTCACCATGTTGGCCAGGCTGGTCTCAAACTCCTGACCTCTACCCATCTCAAGCCTCCCATAGTGGGAGTTGATCTGCCCATCAAAAGTGATCTACCCGTCTCTGAGCCATTTGCCCTGGTTCAGAAACACTGGGGATGTGGCCCAGCCCTCCGGAATTCCCGAAAGTCCTACAGGTGATTCTGAGGCCCACTAAAGCTTGAGGACCAGGCTGCGGAACTTTGTGTTTAGACATGGTCAATTTGGCACTTAATTGAGTTCTGTGTTGTGTTTTCTGTAATTGTTTAATCTAGACAGGTCTGTTGAAGCTTTGCATTGAATGGGGCTACGAAGCCAAAATAATCTCTTCTTTTTACTTGGTGTCCATGCAGTGCAAATTCTCTTTCATTCTGGCTGGGAGAAGAGTAAGAGATACAGCCCTAGTTCCAGACTTCTGCTCTTGCCTCCAAATCCTCTTTGTTCACTCAGCTTGTAAAGCATCAGGAGCTTGCAAATCCCCTGCAGGTGACGCTCTACAGTTGCAGGTGTCACCTGCAAGGAGCTGATTATTAAAAGCCCTGCCAGGGCGGCTTAATCCCTGTGAAGTGATATTGTAACTCACCTCTAGCCGCTGTCCTATCAAAAAATCACCCTCCGTCCTCCTTCTCTTTGTTTACAAGCACCAGTTAATGGTTTTCTCTCCATTAAGCAGCTCAGGGGACCGCTATTTAGAGAACTAATTGAATTCTTGCCAAGTTTGGGCATGATCCAAAGCTGCTCCAATTCTCATTATTTTCCATGCTATGTATTTTCCTCTATTCTAACATGTATATAGCATTGATACCTCTATCTGCAGAATGTTAAGAAATTATAACTGTATACATGAGGGCATATTATACATGTGGCAGTTTCTGCTCCTTGGCATGAAGATACACCTCATAACTCTGCAATGCAAAACTAAAAATATGCATGTTTTTTAAATCTGCCAAAAGAATCAATATATGTTAATTTTAGAAATTATACTACTATTTATGAGATTTATTCCATAATGAAGAGACAACAATCCATTTTTCTCTCCCCCAATTCTACCACCAATCCTGGCCCCTACCACCAAATTTGAATAATACCTCTTTGATGGCCAAAAATATTATAGTTAGTATATTTGTCCATTCTCACATTGCTATAAATAAATGCCTGAGACTGGATAATTTATAAAGAAAAGAGGTTTAATTGGCTCATGGTTCCATTATGCTTCCAATAGGAAGCATGGCTGGGGTGGCCTCAGGGAAATTTTACTCATGGCAGAAAGCAAAGCCAGAGCAGGCATCTTCACATGGGCAGAGCAGGAGGAAGTGGGGCCTGGAGGTGGCACATACTTTTAAATAACGAGGTCTCATGAGAACTCTGTCATGAGAACAGCACTAAGGGAATGGTGCTAAACCATTAGAAACCACTCCAGAGATTCAACACCTCCCACCAGGCCCCATATCCGCCGTTAGGGATTACATTTCAACGTGAGATTTGGATGAGCACGCAGAGCCAGACCATATCTGGTAGCATATTAACATTCTTAGCTACTTAAAGAATACAGTTTTTCTGGCCCTTAGGAATTATTTATCTTTAAGACTGAAAGAGGTTAATCATCAAGGTAGGGATTTGTGAGACTGCATCTAATCATGGGTAGCAAGAGACTGAAGGGATAAAGAGGAAGAGTTGGCAAATAAATAAGTGAATAAATATTATAAGAAAAAACACTAATTACAAAAGGAAAGGTTATTTTTCTTTTGACTTTGATTTTGGTTTTGTTTGTTTTTGAGATGGAGTCTTGCTCTGTCATTCATGCTGGAGTGCAGTGGCACTACCTCAGCTCACTGCAACCTCTGCCTCCCCAGTTCAAGCGAGTCTCCCACCTCAGCCTCCTGAGTAGCTGGGACTACAGGCACCCACAACCACGCTGGGCTAATTTTTGTATTTTTAGTAGATACAGGGTTTTACCATGTTGGTCAGGCTGGTCTTGAACTCCTGACCTCGGGTGATCCACATGCCTCAGCCTCCCAAAGTGCTGAGATTACAGACGTGTGCCATGGTGCCCGGCCTTCATTTGATTTTTTTTTTTAATTCTACTCAATAGATATCAAGCTAAAAATGTATGCACTTTTTGAATGTGTACTACATGAAGCATGTGGAGGTCAATCCTACGATTTTCTCCAGTGCAATCTAATGAGGCACAGCACATTTAGACTCAGGAGCATCTTTTATTCCCTCTGGACAGGTTCCTTTAGATTGCTCGTGTAGGGATTTGGGGAGGGGGAGCATTTTTAATGTTATAGTCTATGCCTTAAAGGAAATCTTCAGTACTTATGCAATACAGTTTTTCTCCCCAAATCTATTTGCTCCTCCTCTTTGGTCCCTCAGTTTATATTATCACCTGTGATTCAAGTTCTGGGTGACACACGTATCTGCCGTTTTGTTGTTGCTCTTATCTCTTTTCAACCATCATCCCTTTGATAGCATTAACATTCTGAGATGAGTAGCTTCATCTTCCACGGAATTATCCTTGGACCATAAAATATTTCAGAGCTGAATTCTTTGAAGTAACTGCTCTTTGTCGCTTCCCGTTCACAGTCTGTGGAGATGAGTGCACCGGTCTTCTCCTCGGTGACCTGGCTCGCCTGGAGCAGATGGCCATGAGCATCAACCTCACTGGCCCGCTGCCTGCGCCATATAAAATACTGTATGGTCTTGAAAACATGACTCAGGAGCTAAAGGTAGGTTGGAGCAGTAATAGTAAGGGCCAGGGACAAGGTGGCAGATGCTTCACAAGTGGTATTGGCTGTAATTGGTAAATGTTCTTCCCGCAGCCCCAAATAAGGGACACAACTGTTACGGAAATTCAGAGACTTTACTAACCAATGTTTTTCAAACTCAAGAACTATAATATACAGATTTCTATTAAGGGAAAAGTGTCTCATGTACCCCCCAGTGTCTGGCCTAAATCAGTTTTACTATGTTTCTGAAATATGTGCAAACATAAAATCAGGTATGAACCCTTTGTACTTATAGCTCTATAAAATCAAGACAAATTAATCCTTACAAAACCCTACAAAACCAATAAAATTCAAATTAAAAACATTAATATAAAGTAACATGAGTTTGGCTGAATGGAAATTGCTGCTTGCAACAAGAATAGAATGTTGACTATTTCCACACAGTTCTTCCACCAGAGGTGAACTCAGTTCTCCCACCTTACTACGTTTGAACCAGAGAGCCCCCTGCAAAGGGCCCTGAAATGACACATGGGCATCACTTGACAAGTTTATGTGAATTATGTGCTCAGCCTGCCAAAGGGTCAAACACACAAGCAAATATAGTCACTGAGATCAGGTGGCCATATTCATTTCTCAGCTGCCTAGCCTGGCATCCAGAAATACTTACATTAATACCTACGGTTATCATCAAAATGAAAACACATGATTAGAAACTTGTACTAGAGAACTAATAGAACTTTAGAAGTTCTTCAACAAGCATTAGTTTGATAAACACTGTTCTAAAACGTGGTTAGAGCTTTTGGTAGTTAATGGTAGAAGAAAACATTAAGGAACTTGGGGTTGTTTCACCTGATGAAAAAGATGAAAGGTGTCAACTTACTTTCAGCCTCTTATCAGATATTTATTGAGAAATTACAGAACGCCTCAGCGTTGCACTTGGTTCCCTGGGGATGTCATGATTCTTTTAGTATCTTCACTATCCTTAGGAAATGTAGATTCCATGTGCTTTAAAAATAATCATTAAACAATAGTCAAGCAATTAGCAAAAATACATAATCACCATGTGTTTTACAAACATTCAAAGTACGCTAGAGTACAAATACTGGAGAAATCAGTAAGGTTCAGAGTAACCAGGGAATGCACCATTACTGAGAGTGTAATTTCTGTTGGAATTTGAAGAGCAGATCCAATTTTAATAGTGAGAGGAGTATTGATTGCTCTAGAGGAAGGCATCTAAGATTTATTCACTAGGCATTGGTAGATACTCTTTCAGGGAATGTATTCTTTAATTCTGACCATAACCTTTAAGGTAAGTATTATTATCCCTATTTTTCAGAAGAAGAAAACAACAATGATGACACCAAGAATAACTAACATTTAATGAAAAGCTAGGCAATTGACTGAAGTCTTACATGATTACCATACATAGCTTTCACAGAAACTCCAAGAAATAAAAAAGTTATCAGGGTCTGAATATTTATATTTCCCTGAAATTCATGTTGAAGGTCTATCATAGTCCGTTGGAGCTGCTAACTGATTAGCTTATAAACAATAGAAATGTATTTCTCACAATTCTGAGGTGGGGAAGCCTAAGATCAGGGTACCAGCAGGTTCAACGTCTAGTGAAGGCCTGTTCTTCATAGAGGGAGACTTCTTGCTATGTCCTCACACTTAATACATTTAATATCTGGATACTGAGGGAAAGGATAGCTAGCTCTCTGGGGTCTCCTTAATAAGGGCACCAATCCCAATCATAAAGCCTACGTTCTCATGACTTAATCACTTCTCAAAGGCTCCACCTCCTGATATCATCACACTGGGACTAGGATTTCAACACATGAATATTGGAAGCACACAAACATTCTGAGCACAGCAAGCCCTGACTCCCAATGTCATGGTATCTGGAGATTTCTCTGCCATGTGAGGACACAGGGAGAAGGCAGCTGTGCTTAACAGAGCCATGTGAGCGGAGGCAGTGGTGTGAATTAGGCGTGTCTGGCAGATATTAAAAGTCAGACCTGCTAGTGAGAGATAACACCGGAGACTTCAGTAAGGCAGGATGATATGAAGGACAACCTTGAAAGCCAGGCAGAGGAACCTGAGTTTACCTTGTAGTCTCAGTATTCAGGGATGCAAAGAGTTTTAATAAAAAGAATACTGATCAGTTATTATTTTTTTTGTATATGGAGGGAACACAGAAAAATAAAACTAGAAAAGAAAATATTTTAGTTGAACATGAAACATTTTAAAACCAATACTTAAGCAATGGATGATGAAATAAAGAGCTCCTATAGAAGAGGCTGAACATCATCTAAGCCAACGGATTCGGTGAGCCATCCACTTCTGGCTGGGTACTGATCCAGATGATCTGGATTTTCCTGAAATTCCAGTCTTTCTTAATTCTGTATTTTGTTTTTCTTCCATCATTAATTTGACATTTGTATACTGAGGATCACCTTTTGATATTCTAAAATATTATTTTACCTCTTTGCTCAATTTAACTGTGTCAGTGCTCCCCAAATTCCAGCCAAAGACCATCAAGGACACACATGTGATGGAACAAAGTGGGGATTATTAACTTGTTGCAACAAGGGACATTGAACACCATGGGGAATTGTGGGCTGTCTCAGTAAGAAGGTGTTAGGAATAACTTCTAGCATTTGAGGTTGTACTAGGTAATTTCAGGTAGCACTCAACTGGGTACTATTTGGAAATGGGAGTAATTCTGTGAGTATTCTGTGAATTCTATCTAGAGAGAGGGAGGATAAAGCTATGATTATAAGGAGGCAGTGGTCACTCATATTAGCCAGGAAATGGGGGGTTGGGGTAGTTTTGTGGTTTGCACAAAACCTGCTATGGTTTTGTCTGTGCTTAGACATTAAAGGGTAGTCTCATTTTTGTTTGTCTGTTTGTTTCATTCATCACTGGCCCCACATGACCTTGTCTAATGTTAGCGTCCTATGAGATTTTTTATATTTCATAGGAAAAAATATGGCCCCGCTGTGAGTGCCAGGCCAGTTCCTGGCAACACCGAGGGCAGGCCAGTTAGTTAGTATCAGGCCAGGTCCTTATGTCAAGACCTGCCGTTCTCTTTTTTACCTGCTATCTGTGACCTCTGTTAATTGGAATGGGAGCCTTAAATGAGCCAGACAAGGAGTTTATCTTAACTCTACCCCTTACTGACTGTGTGATCTCCTGCACATTTTTAACTCTCTTCAAGCCAGTTTGCTCACTTATGAAATGGAGTACACTTAACCCTCATAGAGATGTGAGAATTAGATGAAAAAACAAAACAAAGCCTGGCACATAGTAATTTCTCAATAAATCACTGCAATTTTTATTATTTACCTGAATATTTGGCATGACACCCAAGGTGTAAGTGCCCAGTTGAAATAGTTTCCTTCTCTTTTCTTTGAAGGTGAGAAGGCTAAGTTCCCTGTATACATAGAAAAATGTGTTCTGTTAAACACTGATTACTGCAAGGTCATTTACTAAAATGTGATGGAATTTTTTTCAGCACTTGCTCTCACCTCAGCGAGCCCCAGAGAGGCTTATTCAGCTGGCAGAGGGCAATCTGAATACACTTGTCACCGAAATGAACGAGCTGCTGACCAGGGTAAGTTGGCAAAATTTTGAATCTTCTGAAGGCAGATGGATTATGTAAATTAAGGAAAATTACTTCAAAGCTCTGAAATGCCAGTCGCCTTCTTCTTAATTCCCAATTTGGTATATAAAACAAATGTATTGGGACTTGCTACTTCTGCTTCAATTCAAATAATAGAAATCAGTAGCCCACAGAAAAGTTTGGGATACCTGGAAATTATCAAGAACAATGGCTAAAAAGTCCAGAGTGACAGTGTATTTTGAGAACTTTATTCAGTAGCCTCCATGGTGAAGTTTTTATCTGTTCTGATTTCCAAAAACACTATCCTCAATTATGTAAAGAGAAAGAAAAACAAGTGAAAATACTTGTGGTCTCTTTAATCTCATCGTGGGATTTTTGCATTCGTATAGAAATACAGTGTAAATCAGTTTTACACAAAAGAGAAAATCGTCTCTATTGTGAGACTCCAAAGCACTGAAGACACTTTTAAAAGTGAGAATGTAAAGTCCATGTTGCATTTATCAGGCTTTTTAAGGAATTGGAAATTTTAAATTTTCAAAAGTGCCATGGCATTAAAAACTTTCTGCTGTTAGAGAATGAAGAAATCAACATAAAGCCCGCCATCTTGTGGTCAGAAATATGCATGAAGTGAGAAACTGGGCTGCAAAGTAAGGATCTAATTTGATGATCTAAGAGCTTTAAAAGATAAAGAACATTGGAGCTAGAAGATTCCGGGAGATTATCTAGTCCATTTTGTATTTTAAGGGAGAGCTGCACCAGGCCATGACAGTGAACTGAATTAACAATGACCACACAATTTGCTAAACCCAGGGACTTAAGCAGGACCCAGCCTCAAGATTCCCAGTGGCCTAGTACTTTTCCTACATAGCCTTCTGTTGGTTTAGGAAAATTTCCACAGGGAAATCAAATAGGCTTCTGAGCACATAATGCCAAACAATGGCCCTGAAGTTACAATAGCACACTAAACACTTTTTCAGAATCTCATAGCAACAATATAGAATGTAGAGATACAACATGGCGTTTCTTGCCAAATATATTTAGACATTAGATTAAATTGAGTGCATTTATCTCATATTAATTTAATATATAAGAATTCATATTTTTATGTGGCTACTAATAAATAAGAATTTTTTAACAGGTCATGGCAGAATAAATCAATTCAACAAGCACACATAAATGTTTATAACATACAAAGCCTAAGTTAAGTGTTGGTAGATGAAAAATATGAGTGAGGCTCATTCTGTCTTCAAAGAACTTTCAGGTGTGTGTGTGTGTGTGTGTGTGTGTGTGTGTGTGTACATCAGCATTTAGGTGTATGTAGGACAATAGGTAGGTGTAGGTGTATTAGACAACTGCATGCAAGTATATAATAAAATATGAAATAAAATTGGAAGAAATTCTTGAGAAATTTGTAATAATAGAACAGTTTCATCTGATTGGGGTAATTAGAAAAAAATTCATGTAATAAGTGGCATTTCATTCATGCATTCATTCATTCACTAAACTAATACTTATTGGAGGTCTCCCGTGTTCTAGGGATTATGACAGACACTGGGGATAGAGGTGTGAGCAAAACTGCACAGTTGTTGCCCTCATTGGTTTAGAATTGTCTAATGATCTGACCTTAGAGATACAAGAAGTATTTCATTAAGAGTGTCAAGTCTTCATTATGTCTCAGCCTACACTCTTTAATCTTTCCAGCAGATTCTCTCACATTACATTTTTTAAACAGACTTTATTTTTCAGAGCAGTTTAAAGTTGAAAGAAAAGTTGTGTATAATGTTCAGAGAGTTCTCATATCTACTCCCTGTCCTCACAGCCATCCCCACTGTCAACCTCCCCCACCAGACTGGTACATTTATTATAGTTGGTAAACCTAAGTTGATACCTCCTCATCACCTGAAGTCCATAGTTTACATTAGGGTTTGCTCTTGGTGTTGTACATTCTATGGGTTTGGACAAATGCATTATGACATGTGTCCACCATTGTATTACAGTATAGAAAAGTTTTACTGACTAAAAAATCCTCCATACTTCACCTACTCATACCTCCCTCCTCCTTGACCCCTGGCAACCACTCATATTTTAACTACATTCATAGTTTTGCCTTTTTTGGAATATATAGCTGGAATCATACAGTATGGTGCTTTTTCATATTGGCTTCTTTCCCTTGGTAATGTGCACTTAAGGTTTCCCCATATTTTTTCATGACTCTCTAGCTCATTTCTTTGTAGTGCTGAATATTATTTAATTGTCCAGACATTTCACAGTTTATTAATTCCCCTACTAAAGGGCATCTGATTGCTTCCAAATTTTGGCAGTATGAATCAAGTTGCTGTAAACATCTTTGTGCAGACTTTTGTGTGGACATAAGTTTTCAACCTATTTGGGTGAAGCTGAGGGAGTATGATTGCTGAATTGTATGGTAAGAGTGTATTGAGTTTTGAAAGAAATTGCCAAAATGTTTTCCAAATGGTTGTTGCTAGTTTGCATTCCCACTGGCAATAAAGGAGAATTTCTGTTGCTCCACACGTGGCAAGGCTGATCCTGCATGACTGCTGTAGGAGCTGCCCTCTCTTCTTTAAGGGCTTTTGTATTTTATATTCCTTTTTTTTTAGACAGAGTTTTGCTCTTGTTGCCCAGGCTGGAGTGCGATGGTGCAATCTTGGCTCACTGCAACCTCCGCCTCCTGGGTTCAAGCAATTCTCCTGCCTCGGACTGTTGAGTAGCTGGGATTACAGGCATGCACCACCATACCTGGCTAATTTTGTATTTTTAGTTGAGACTGGGTTTCTCCTTGTTGGTCAGACTGGTCTTGAACTCCCAACCTCAGGTGATCCACCTACCTTGGCCTCCCAAAGTGCTGGGGTTACATGTGTGAGCTACCACGCCTAGCCTATGTTCATTTTTTTTTTAATGGAGAAATCTAATTCCCTAATATCCCTGGGTAAAGAGGATATTATTCCTCCCAATAACTCACATTTAAAATGTATTTTGATATGTTTTAATTAATGTATAAATATAAAGTAAGAAAACACTACATAATCATGTATCTCTTTCAATGCATTTTGATTTGTTGCCATTTTCTCTTACTCATCGGAAGAACTCAAGTTCCTCAAGTATGAGAATCATGTTAAACATATTTCGAACTGCCCTACAATATGTGTGGAATATTGAGATGCTTTTTGATGATGACTCTACGTACCTCTATAGCTATTGACCTTAGCTCCTTTCTTTTTTCAGAGCCAAAATTTTTGAAGACTTGGAGACAAGTCTGTATTTATTTCTCACTCCACTGCTGTCTGAATTTTCACTCCCAGCCCACTACTGAAACTGTTTTTTGTAAGATAACCAATGACAATCTGGTAACTAAATCCACCGGATGCTTTATTAATTTTACTTGAAATCTCCAGCAATTGCCAGCTTTGATCTTTCCTTTTTTCTTGACATACTCTCCTCTCTCTGTTTTTCTCTTAATTCTCCAACCTTTCATTCTAAGGCTCTTTCTCTCATCATCCCTTCAAAGTTGGTGTTCCTTGGGATCTAGGCCTCAGTCCATGTTTCCTCTCACTCTATAACTCTTTCTTTGGTCTTCAATTGCCATGTATGAGCTGTTAATTCATAAATCTGTATTTTCAAGGCTGACTTCATTCTCCTGCTTTGGCCCTATATGCCTTACTAAGGATCGGACATCTCAAACTAAACTCATCACTTCCTCTTAAAGCCCATAGTTTCTCCTGTTTAGACCATCTCTGTTTTCTCCTCCAGTATATGCCCAGTCTCCCAAAGAGAAATTAGCAGGTTGCTCTTCACTCTACTCCCTCTTTCACCCGTCTTCCAATTCAGTTCCCTTCTGTGGTGGCTCTTCGTAAGTCTTATCCAACTCCAACCAGTTATTATCTATATGGCAGATTAAACAGTCTAAATTACAAATCTTATCATGCCATTCTCTTCCTTAAATTGTACTATGACTTTCCACTTTGTTCAGGATGACATGCAGTGCTCTCCCACCGGGAACTATTCTCTATTTCTCTCTCATCTTTCCCCACTACTCGTGGTCTGGTCACCGGGGCCCCCACGGACTGAGCATACAAGCCAGAAACCTATGAATCGTTGGTGACTCTTTCTTCCTCGTCATGCTCCTGCTTTTCCAACTCATTACCACACACTGGGCGTCCGCTTCCATGTATAGCGTTCGTCTCCGCTACCCCACTCTCATCCAATCTCATGTTGCATAGTCTGGGATTACCACATTTGTTTTTTAGCTGGTCTCTCTGCTTTTACTGTTGTTGTTCTCCAGATCTGTTCTCTGCAACATCGCCTGAATGAATGTTTGCTATTCCAAATGTGAATATGTGGTCGAAGTGCTTACAAATTCTTCCCCTGACTTCCCTCAGGCTCTTAGGATAAAGACCAAAATTCTCCCCTTGGCCACATCTCCCACCACTTGCACCCCTGGCCATCTGCACTCCAGCTGTCCTGTCCCCCAGCCACCTTGTCCTACCGTAAAGCATTGCCACATATTTATTTTCCCTTAAAGGTAACCTACCTCTCCCTACATTTTGTTAATTTCTATTAACTCCAATTTACCTCTCAAATCTCAGCTCATGAAAGCCCTCTGGGCCATCGCAGGGGTGCTGGGATTCCTCCTGTTCTTATCTTACATCACTTTTTCTCTCCAGTTTGTAATTATAAATTTATCTATGTGATCATTTGACAAATAACCCTCTAGTCTGCCAGACTATTGACTCCAAATGGGCAAGAAGCCTTTTTGTTTCTTATCAGAGTATCACCAATATTATGCACATAATAGGTGTTGAGTCAATATTTGTTTAATTAATTAATTGTGAATAATTTTAATAGCATTTGAACAAGATGAAAGGTAGACAAACCCCAAATAAACATTGATTTTGCATACTTTAAAATGCATTAAATCAGGCATATAGTTATAATTAAATTGTTGAATACTTTGTTTTTATTGATAAACATCT